AAAAACAAAGCATTAATCGGTTTACTCACCATGAAAGACCCGATCAGTATAAGCAGCGCTATAAACTTAAAATCCATTTTGAATAGCGTCGAGTACAACAGCGCACACCTCTGTAAGTGTTCACAGTCTGTCTGTGAACTTATTTAGGCGACGTGTTCTGTTTATACGGTGTGGGAGGAGCTACGCGCGGTGCTTTTCCTTGACCGTTTCCTGTAAAAGCACGTGAAGCTTGTACTCCTCTTCAGCTATTTTCTAAAATACCCAGAAGTAGTACTAAATCCTCTTTAAATAGAATTCCTCTGCGACAAAGCGTTGTTTCACACAACAGGAAGCACGCTTGACTGGCACATTGTTTGCACAAATAAAGAGTGGGTCTTTTTCTGATGGAGTAAGAAGAGCTACTCTGCTGCTTTACTCCAGTAGTAGTATTAAGTATGTCTGAGGACGAACTAAGGCAGTTCTGAAAGTAAAAGTAGGTCCGACCCAGTGAAATCATAGCACCCATTTGAAGATCACGCCTCACCAAACCCCTTAGAAATAACGGAAAGAAATTAAAAAGCACAGTGTATTGGAAAGTCACCCATCTTTGCATGTAGAGGTTTGTAGCAATCTTTATTATTTTAAAAGCTTGCTACTTCTGGCATTTAAACATTGTTCACAGCTGTGTGCTAATCCCCACCAAGAACAGCAGTGCATTTTATGATATTTGGATTTTTGGTGATGCTGCTTTAGACTCAGATTGCCATGTGACTTCTGAGCATTTCTTCTCCAGTTATGTATTTATATACCAATACTGCTTTGAATTTTGCCTTCTCTCTCCCACACTTTGCATCTGTTCTCTCTGTCTTTCCCTTCACCCGTTGCAGCACATGGCAGTCCCTGCTTGAGCCAGATTTAGTTTTGTTTTGGGGGGATTTTTTTTCCCTGTTAAAATGACGTTTTTCCTGTTAAAAGGGATCATCTAATTGTTGGGGGTTTCTCTGCAGGGTCTTTACCTTTGCCTGTCTATATATCATATATAGACTGTAACAAATTTCCCTTTTAATTTACAACAAAGTGGCTGCAACTTTATTTCCAGTTTTTTACAGCCTAACTGTTAGAAGTACTGTTTCTTATTCTTGAGGCTCATGAAGCAGAAAGTACTGTTCTATTATGCAGCAGCTGGCTGTTTTTGGCATCAGCTTTTCTGTGTATGTACAGCCATTTGTAACAGGATCTGTACAACCCCCAAAAACTCATGTCTAGGATTCATGTGGCTGGGATCTATTCACAGATGTACAGGTGTTACCATTACCTTTTCATTTGTGTATTACCTGTGTATAACTCTCCTTAAAATCAGTGCTAATAGACAAATGATGCACCAGTCAAGCTCAGTCATATTGCAATCACTGAGTCATTTGCAGGGGGTGACACATTTTGGGTTAAAGCAGTTGCTTTTATTTTTTTTTTTGGTCTGCATTTTATAGCTTTGAATCTTCCAGCATTTAGGGTGGGTTGCATTCCTGCCCTGGCTCTCAGTGCGGTGCCAAGGTTTGGTCAATCAGAAGTGGTAGATGACACACTCGTCTGCTTTTACTACCCTCTGCAGATCATTCCAGGTTTCTGCTCTACAACCACTGTGATGATGGCTACTAATTATCAGTTGTTGCAGGGAGGTGGTTCTGTTTGAGAATTCCCAGGAAGAAGAATTTCTGCTCGGCCTTTTTTTTTTTTACCTAATGGGAGATGTTTTTTTGATGAGGTGAAATCAGAGGTGTGATGCGAGGAACATGTTGCACTTAAATCTCTCAATTTGCCCACCATGTTTACAAATAGCAGACACACCTTGATATTTTGAAGTGAATTACCATCTTTTTTTTTTGAGATGTTAAGGTCCAGGTTGTTATAGGAACACGACTCCACCAGTCTTTATTAAAGCTTTATTTTAGGTAGCACAAAGTGGGAAAAAAAACATGTACATTTTTATTGAAAGATCTGTATTCTATAAATCTTTCAAAAATGCAATAATTTAAAAAAAAGTATTGATGTCTCATATATGACTTCCTGTCCTGATGTTGGCATGTACAATGTCCTTACAACTGTTTCACACAACGTAATAACAGTACTTTCAGATGAGCACCTCAGATTTTCGGTGATTTCCAGGACACTTTCCACTCCTTAGCAGGTGAATACAAAAACAGACTTCTATCACATTCTGAATATTAATAATCGGCACGTTGAAGCTCAAACACTCTTTATATGTTATACATATGATGCATGTGTTATGTTATATATACATATAAGCCACATGTATGGTACTATTTTACTCATAGTAGTCATGCAGTATTTTGAAATGATGAGATTATTAATGTAAGGAAATAATAATGATTATTAATGGACTTTAAGCACTTTATATTTATCTAACAAAAGTGGAAAGTACAATGACTTTTGTTGTTTTGTTCGTTTTTGACCACACCTACTCTGTGATAGTTTCTTAAACCCACCACACCACCACCAGGGATTTCCCTATAAGAGTTTCGTGAGCGGGCTTTCCCCAATGCAGCTGCTGTTGAACATTGTTTGTCTTAAGAGGCTGCTTTTCTCTTAAATATAGATGTAAAATATTTATATGTAACGTTTTTAAAATATCTATGACCAACGCGAGCTGCTTCTTCGCCAAATCGAATGAAACAGCAGCAGGTGTTACATTCTGTTGCGCTATACTCTTGCAATTACGGTACAGGTACCGTAAGCAGCCAAAAATCATTGCGACGTCACCACGTCACAGCACTGCGGTTTTTGGAAATTCCAGTACAGATTCCCTTTCAGTGTCCTGCTTTGTTCCCATTTTAAAAATGTCACCACTGTCCTGTAAATTTCTGAGGAATATGAACAGATTAACATTAACAAAACTAAATCTGGAATTTTTTGAAAGGTACTTTCTTCTTCTTCTTTTTTTTTTTTTACCCCATTTAGCTAACTCGTTTTACAGATTTCAGATTTACTAATCACAGAATATCTATCCATAGCAAAAAAGTACTTCTCATGAATTGTACTTTAAGATACTATAACTTGAAGGCGTTGCCCCCTTTTTTCCTATTTAAATGCACGGGGATTTGTGTGCCCAGAAAAAATCCCTGTACTTGCGCAAACTAATCATGTTCTGTATTCTAAATAGCCTGTTTCACTGGTGAAGTGATGAAGGTCTAGATACTGTCTTATCTATTTTGCCATTTATCCATTTATCTGTTTTGAAGCTTTTTTTCCTCTCCTAAACTGACTATAATGGATTTTCTTCATAAAACTTTGTTGTAGATAAAGTCGATGAGATGAACTTCATTATTTAAAGTTTTTTTCAGTGTGAGTATACTTTCAGCTATCAATTAAAAAAGTAAATATGCAGTAAAATAACTCTATTGTACACTAGCTCTCAGATAAGTAATTTGTACACAATACATACAATACAATAACTTTATTACATTATTTCTGATCATTTCATGGTCAGAAAAAAAGGTGCATGCATGAAGTTAGGCTTATGGTCTCTGGGTATGAATGTGAGATAGCTGTCTACCTCTGTATGTTTATCCTGTGACAGATTGGTGACCTCTCCAGGGTGCTGTTACGCCCCAGTCTAGGGGTACAGGAACGTAACATAAGAGTTGAAAAGATTGACCCCGCCCTGGTCCCCAAAACCATACACAGAGGAGAAACGATTTCTTAGTGAACAGTGGTTTATTGTTTAAACTGAAGCGTGACTCCGGGGTGAACAAAGGCCAACATAACAAACAAAACCAGCTTAATCAGTAAAGGAGGTGCTACCTAAACCCTACGTGATGAAAAGAACAAACAAAAGACAAATGCCACACCTAACTCTCTAACTGAATAAACAGGAGGAAACAATACAGAAAACAACAAGGCAGCTCACCCCTTCAGCTTCAGTGACTATTTACAAGAGAAGGCTGATTTACACACTATATACAAGCTCGATAGGTCACGAGAATCACAAATATCACAGAGTTTGGAGGCCAGGGTCAAGTCTGCTGCTGCTGTTAGTTGCTGCCCTGGGACAACTGCTGTTGAGGGATTTTGAAAGCAACCACATGAATAGGGGACCAATTAGCAGCCGTCAGCTAATCCAATCAGGGACCTGCAGAGACTTAAAGACACAGAACAAGAAACAGCCACCAAGACACATTATGGCCAGGGCCATGACAAGTGCACCTGCCTTTCACCCTGTGATAGCTGAGACCGACTCCAGTCCCCTCCCTGTGACCCTGAACTGGATAAAAGGAGGAAACTGGATGAACAATGGATGAAAAAAACAACACCAAAAAGCATAGCAATAGATTTATGAAGATTAAAACAATAAAAAAAGGAACTTCTCAGATGCAATCTCTATGAAAAGGAACTACAAAAAGAAAATGGTACAAAATGACATAAAATTGATGTACACAGCAAATAAACAGTACTCAAAGTTAGCTTTTAAAACTACAGTATAATGTTTGCAGTACAAAAAACACAATAATCATGTACTCAATAAACATGTGTACATAAAGACATGTGTACATAAAGACATGTGTGCAAACCTATGCAGGAAAAACACCTCACACTATGAATCCCAACCAGATGTTTACAGTCTTTGCACTGTGTGATTTGGAACTGTAAAGTTTTAAATCCTGTACATCTCATAATATTTTAACTTTTAAATTAATGAATACATATTTTCAAACCTATGCTATAATAATTCAAACAAAGTAATTCTTTCTTTGAAAAAAGGAGATACATTTTTAGTACTTTTATTGCATTTCATATGAACACTCAAAATTATGGGTTCCCTCGCACTCTCCAATGGATAGAAAAAAGCAACAGAAGAGGTAAAACCATGTCCTGCCAGTTAAGACATGTAACCTGCCTGGAAATGTATGCTATTTGGAGATAAAGTCTTTGTGCTGGCTGCTGTAGGTGTGGCTAAACAACCTAAGCAGGAACAAATTTAGCCTGCGTTGAAAGTGGGCGGTGGTAGAAGGAATCCTACAAATCATAGCACATTTCTTTTTTTCCCGCAGTCGTCAAGTATACCTCTGTTTAGGCTGCATGACAAACAAAACAAGACACAATACTGTGAATCTATATTTGCAGTAAAGGAGAAACGTCTTGCTGAAGTGAGAAACTGTGTAGCATTTTGTAGATAATCTAAACCAGCTAGGATGCCAACTTTAGGATCAAAGAGAAAAGACAACCCACCCAGGATGGAGAAGTACACTGGGGGCATGCCACAGGTAAGAATCAGCTTATGAATTAAGGAAGTGCCAAGCTCTTTCTGCAGATGAGTCATTAAATAACAACAGCTTTACTGTAATAGTGATTCTACAGAATAGCTGCCTTGCTTTCACTAACGTCACATGTGCAGGTCCACAGCAAGAGCAGACAATGCTCTGTTTTAGCACACCAGTGTCTCTTTAGCATTTTACTTCCTCAATTTTACTTGACTTCCTTTTTGATAGAAATTTCCCAAAGATAGGAGCAGACATTACTCAGAAGTGTGACAGTATGTTCCTGGAATAGACCTTTTAAATGGTTTCTGATAATGTTACAACACAATGGCTTATCAGTGTGGTTAGACAGACAGATGTTGGCATTGCTCATACTGCGATGCTGAGAAATCAGTGCCATCTTTATGAAAATCTAAAGGAAAACTTAAGCAGTGCACCTGTGGATAGTGCTTATGGTGAGAGCGTGACAGTTCTTTGCAGTGATATTAAATAATTTATTTTTCTGTGGTCTTTCAATATTGTCACTTTTTTAAAATATGAAGAAATAAATCACACACAGAATGCTTGTTTTGAGATCGGGATGACCTTTGAAATGTGGGTGAAAAAGGAAAGAAAATCAACCAGACAAAGATAAAGTCTTCATCTTTTTACATTTTTATGTTTTCAGTTGAGCAATGAGATGCAACTAGACATCCTGAACAAGGTGAAGAGTGGACAGTTATCAATCGATGACGCTCTGCAGCAGGCAAGGATGGACAGAGAACAGAAGATGACAGATGACAAGGTAACCCTCATTTTTACTAAGCAGGTACACGATTTTCATGGTGACTTCAGTTTGAGTGTGACATGGGTGTGGTTTCAATGTTGAAAACTCAAAAAATTTAAAAAAAAAGAAGAAAAAAAAGGGATCTTGTGGATAGAATTTGCATTGTTTTGTATTATGAGTCATGTGAAACAAGCTTTGACCATAATGCAGTAACATAACACAACACAAGATACCGTAAACAGGATCTGGGGTTCCCCATGTGTCCAGACCACCAGTTTGTGACGAGATGGAGAGTGAAACCTGCAGGTTTTCAGTTTTCCCTGAAAGTGTTTAAATATTCACTATACGTAGATATGTGTAGTTTTATTTCATGTGCTCAACACTAAACAGTTCCAGATGAGTGGGGGATTAAGTGGAGTGTGTCGTAGTTAAAGCTAAAGAAAAATAACAGTCAGTTGGGAATTTAAAGTAAACTTTCCAGGTTGTTGCTCCGTTTATATTAAGTGTATAATTTCATAGGTGGTTTTTTTAATAGCACAGATAAAGCTTAAATTCTCACAAATATTACAAGAAGTAAACGATCCATTCAAGACAGCCAGATATGGTTTAAAAGCAAACCCAAAATGGACTGTCTAATGTCTAATTCACCCTCTAATGTCTCTTCTTCCTGGATAATACCGTATGAGTGGAAAACAGAACAAACAATATTCCATGTAAGAATCAAATTATAAACACCAGCCCTTAAGCTACTGATCTAACTAACTAACTAAACTGTTATAGTCGACATGTCCCTGCAAATAACCAACATGCGACAGACACAGGTAAAGGAATGTAATTTATATGTAGATATACCACCAGAAACTTTGCAGATGGCTTTAAAAGTCTGATGCTGGAGTTAACCTGACTTTAAAAAATATAGTACTGCATCTTCTTCTGCTATTTATAAACGTTGTTTTGCTAATAAGCTGCAAAGCCTGCTGGATCAGTTCAAACACAATTTTGTGGAAGGTAGTCCAAGGGTTTAGGAAGAAACAATAATGCAGTGTCCTTGTGTAATCCAGTATAGTGTAATCTAGTGATTCTACATTGTCCTTAAGTGGTGATTTCCCTCTAAGTATTCATATATGTAATGTTGTTTATTGGTTGTTTTTGCAGGAACTAGAATCTCAGTACAACTTTAGCGTTTACAAGCATGGCCGCTACAGGTGGCAGAAACGGGTTTTACAGGTGAGTTCAAAACAAAAGCAAAAATCTTGCTGTAGGCATCCAATTGCATAACAAATGAAACAGGAATGTAGACCATGACCTCAGGCTTCAGGGTGCTCTTAGCTCTCTGAGGTGACAGAGCAACCCTTAACATGGTCAGCTGCGTGCTCTGGCTGTACTCCACCCACCTGTTGTTGAGAGGCACCAGAGAAGGAATCTTTAAGGGAGGGGGGGCTTAAGGAGAACAGGGGCTGAAGAAGGTACAGGTACAAGATGATGAAGGATTATTTTACACTTTGAAACATGCAAAGCTCCTCTGGCAGAGTGCAGTAGTAAAAAATTTAACAGGCAATCCATATAAATGTAGAGGCCGAGGATTCTGCAAGTTCCAGATTCTCTCTTTCACACACAAAAATGTTAGCATTGCTAACTAGCACTAAAGATAAAGTCAGGCTGGGCTGATGGGAATTGTACTTGTCGATTTGTGTAATCTAATGTAATGACCAAATTAGATTTTTTACATCACGATGGTACATTACTGAAAGCAGATTAATCACCAAAGCGAGGCAGTAATAAATGTTTTAATGCCACACAGTGCACACTTCAGACATGCTCATTTAATCACTCACATTGTGAACATCCAGATTGATTTCAGGACCAAAATGGTGTGCAGCATAGAGAAAGGAATCGTTAAGCGGCAACTTCCCTTCTCTATTGTCAAGAGTTGTGATGATGGAGAGGGTTCCAGGTACTCTATTTCCTTTAAAGGACATCATGATTATGAATTGGAGGCCACGTCGCTGGAGGATAAACATAAGGTGACAATAAGATTGTTTCACCGAGGCAATTTCTGCTGAGATTTACTGAGATGTGATTATTGCTCTTTGAATTTAGACTCTTGATTGCAAACACTTAAGCTATAAAAATAAATGCAAAACAGCCTTGCTTTTACTTTTATACCATTTCATATCATTCATTGATGGTTTCACAGTGACTCTTTTCATTCTCGTGATTCTCTCTTTCGAGCAGATGATGGAGCTTGTCAATAAGATAATTTATAATAACATATACAATGATCATGGAGAAGAAAATGCAGAATCCCAAGAGCAATCTCAGGCACCACAGAGCATTCGAGAAGGGATGTTGTTGCTGCACAGAGGAGGCTTGGCATCATTTAAATGGATGAAGTATGTATGTCTGCTTATTATTGAAGCATTGCTCTCACAAAACAGCCACAGGACAGTTTTGACAGTTTTGTTAGTCATGAGACGTTATTTGTCAGTAATATTTGACGGCTACTAGTGTAGAAGTCAACAGCTTAAAACATTAATTTGATCTTATACTGGGCCTTGACATAAACCCTGAGCGATCTCAACCCAACAGAGCATGATTTTCACTTTAAACTGCACAGAGACAGAAAAGCAAAAAGCCTCAGTTGATGGTGCCTGAAGCATCTCAAGTGGAAACCCAGCGTTTAACGATGTTCATGGGCTCTACATTGACTCCAAAGAATTTTCATTCAAGTATTTAAAAAATCCTCATAATAATAATTATGTGAGTTTGGACAAGTACCTTTGAGCCTTCAAAAGAGGGGGACTTTGTATAAGTACACTATGTGTCATTGTCAATAAAGTTATGGTCATAACTGTATATGTGTGGCGAGGCGTGATTGCAGATGCCGCTCAGGTGCGTCCGCCTCCCCTACAGCGGCACCACAGGCCACGTCCCACCACTTTATTTTATGGAATAAAATCAATGTACTGCATAATTGATCCCTTTTAATAAACTTTGAATCCTTGTAGCTCATGCTACAAGCTAATTCTAGGATAGTTTTGAGTTTCTTAAGTTTACTTGAGTTTTATTTCAGTTTTACAGTCATACAAAATGATTACAGTATTTCTGAACCCCGAAATGTTTATCCAACCAATTCTAGTCCACAATCCTCCTTTCCCCATTGCCCAAGAACGTTGGATCACTGCATATGTAAATAAAGTTTAATCAAAATCATATTTGCAATTGCCTTCCTCTGCCCTACAGCAGAGGAATGAAAAACGAATCCTTTTGTGCCAGAGTCAGCGCATTCAATTAATCTAGGAATAAGGAGAACATATTCATTACCAGAGAGCAGTTTTAAGTACATTCCTGAAAAATGCTTTCATTTTGATTGCTGATGGAAAATTGATACAATCTTTGAGCCAGGTGTTACATTAACTCGCTTCTTTTCTCGAAAGCCTCTTATCTGTTATCTTCGGTTAGAAAAGTTCCTCTAACTGAACCTTTCCTGGATTTGAGCCTACAACTGGCTCCTCCTCTATGTTTCTTCATACTTGACCCATTACTAGAAGGTATTAGCAGTGAAGTAGTAGGCAGATGAGCTTATCTTAGAATACATCCAGGCTGGGTATTTTATATTTCTAGCTGCTGTTTTATATTTTTTACATTTCTAATTCTTCCAAAACAGTAGACACCGGTAAATTGCATACATTATGATATATCTAAAGCTTACACTAAACATGACTCCTCCATTTTATTCCAGATACGAGGCCCGGCTCCATCCAGGACAACTAACGCTGGTCCCGTTGAGGGATGGCGAGATGACACTCTCGGTGCCTGTTTCCACTGTGATTCACCTGTCAGACGGTGACACCAGAGTGCAGAAATGTAACGACTCTGACACTTTCAGTCTAATCACCCACAAAAATGAGTACCAGTGAGTGAGTTTTATTAAGATGTGGAAATATAACAAAAGCAAGCAGCTAATGAACTCTGTCACACCAGCTGTATTTGTTTGTGGGGCGACTGTGGCGCTGGGGGTTGGGAAGCGCATCTGTAACCGGAAGGTTGCCGGTTCGATCCCGATGGCGCGATATGGCAGCCTCACTTCTGTCAGTCTGCCCCAGAGCAGCTGTGGCTACAACTGTAGCTGCCTCCACCAGTATGTGAGAGTGAATGAATAATGGAATTGTAAAGCGCTTTGTTAATTAATTATCTGCCTTGCACAAGTGGGTATTCTCGATCAAAAGTCTATTTGTGTAATGTGTTCATTTTTACTGTAACAGTTTGAGTGATAATATCATAAAAGGAGTCTGGGACTGTTAATTACCACACTTTTGTCATCTAAATAAGAAATGCTAGTTAGGTTTTGCTTATTTATTGCAGGTTCAAGGTGCCAGATGAAACAGTTGCCCTGGGGACTGTGCAACAGGAACGGGATGCATGGGTGAAAGCTATTGACAAACTGTGTTCAGAGTGGAAAAGGAAGTCCAAGATGTTCATGGAACAAAAGTCCTTTCGACAAGTGAGCATAACCGAAGACACAGAGGACAACGATACAGATCTCGAGTCCAGTGGTGAATTCGGTGCTGGCAGCATCACTTATCCTCCAGCTGATAATAAAAATGCAGATCCACCCCTGAGTGATGGAGATAATTTATCAGCTCAGCAAACCCATCCACCAGCTGATCACACAAAGCCTATTCCTAAACCTCGCAGGAGGAATTCTCCCCAAATAATCCCACCTCAGGTCTCATCACCGCCCTCTCCCAGTCCGACATCTCCCACCTCCCCTCCATACAGTCTCCGTGCTATCCTTCAGCCCCCTCCCGCAGTCCCAGAGTCTCCTGCCCAAGAGGCAGGGCCTCCCCCCCGAAGCATCCCAGCTCCTCCACCTTTACCCCTCAACCTAAATTCAAAAAAAGCATGCACCAAGGCTTTCCACTGGGATCTTATTGGCCCAGACAAGGTAAAACTGTCTCCATTCATTACAAGTCATTGAATTATCATATTTTCAGAGCCAAGTATAGCACTTACAAAGGCTCCCATTAGTGTGAGTCTTTCATATTTAAATGACATGTTTTATTGTTTCGGCAAAAACAGAAAGGTCAGTTTCAGCTTGTTTTTTCTTCATTATTGCTGCGAATTGTTCTTTGTTTTGTCTGTCAGTTATTTCTTTCAAGTGCTGTTCTTTTGTAATATTAACATTGATTTCCTCATAAAATTAAATTGTTGCAGTACTGAATTCATTTGTTTGTTGGCAGATTGCAAAATCGTTCTGGATACAGGAACGCATGGGGAGGATTGAAATCGACACATCACTCTTACACAAGCAATTTGCTGTTAAAGATCTTCGGACATTTGGTGTCGTTGAGCCAAATAATACCCAGCATATTATGCTGAACCAGAAGATTGCACACAACTTCAGTGAGTACAATAAATATGTCTATGACTTTTGACGTGAAGCTGCTCATAAATATTGCCAACAGAAACATATAATTTTCAGCATTTTAAGAAGAAGATTAGATTTCCTCTGCAAAATAATAAGTATAATTTCCAAGCTGTAATGAAAAGCCATTCTTCCGGATTAAGTCAAATAAAGGAGCTTATTTCTCCAGTGAATTAGAAATTAGAACATGTGTTTACACAACCACCAGAGGGAAGCACTACACAGAGAGAGCAGCTTCTCTGCAGAAACAGCATTATTGTCAGGAGGTCCTTTGAATTTTTAATAAATTCGATTTTTATGCCCAGTTAAGAGAAAGCTGACCTGACAACTTTCTTTCAGGGTTAAAAATGCTGCCAGTATTCTCTCTTCAAACAATAGTTGAGACACATTTTGTGCAAAGCACATATATGATTTGTATTTGTGTCTGCAGGGGGCAGTATGTCACCAATCCAGCAGTGACATGACTGCCCATGGACTCTGCAGAGTGATTGTGGACTGGAACATATTCTATTTCTCATCTAATGGCCTTTCACTTTTGATTAACTGAGTGTATGTGGCTTGTATATTTCAAGAGCCATGCCAGGGGAGAACATTTCAGAAGCTTCCTCTCACAGGTCCTCCAAGTAGCACAGTTACCGTGAACCGATACAGATGTGGTGGTGGGCTGCTAAATGGAATCAGCATGAATGTGCAGACTGGCAACATAATTAGAGTTCACATATTCATAAAATATGGATAGGGGATCTGAGCGACAACGGCAGTGATTTCCTGCCTTGATACAGAATACTGTATCAAGGGCTCCTCCCTGACCTGGAAACTTTGATTCTGTCAGGCGCAGGAGCTGAGAGATGAGAGCCCGAAGGCAACTCAAGGCCATGCATCTTTTTGCTGCTAGCTTTAAAAACATTTGAAGAACAAGGAAAAGCATCTTCCTTTCAGTTCCTATTTATTTGGTCCTATTAATACCACTATTGAAAGTGTCATTTTTAATACAAAAAATTAAAAAGTTCAAACTGTCACTTAAGTGACGATAAGGCGATAAGTATATTCCCAGGAAAGAAAAGTGGTTGTGCATGTGTGTTTTAGTTTTCTGTTACTGGATTATAGTTATTAATACAACTATGTATAAGTGTAGAATATATATGAAAGTCTGCTGTAGTCTTCATGATGTTGCATATTGGTTTGTGAAGCCTTGATTTGAAACTGTCACCAGAAGTGAGCACATATGGAGAGGAGAGTGAAATGCTAACTATAGCAAGCTTGTCTGTAAGATAGACACAGATACCTGCTAATTAGTGCTAATCAGTTTTGGTCAAGCTACTTTGAAAAAGTAATTAGTTATAGTTGCCAGTTACTTCTTCCAAAAAGTAACTTGTTACAAATGAGTTACAATATTATAAAAGTAACTAATTACCAGGAAAAGTAACTTTAAAAAAAAGTTTAAATATGGAAAATAATTTTGATCCCATCTTAAGTAAAATACTAAAATATAAATTAGTAAATATACTTGAACATACTAAAGTGCATATTCAATTGTTTATTATAAAACTGAATATATAATTGAAGTAAATAGGCCCTTTAGTCGAAGGAACTAACAGCAAACACTAAACACTAAAGTACTGGGTATCTACGTATTTGGAAAAAGTCTTTCTGCTTGGTGGGCCTACCCCTCCTTGGCCGGTATCTTGGCAATAAGAGACTTAAAGAAATCTGACTAGACTGTTGACAAAGGCAGCATCAGTCTTTTTAACTCAGTCTGTGCTACAGATGTTTGCGGAGAAGAGAAACCAAGCTTAGACTGTTAGATGGCGTCGCTCCATCTCTGTTATTTGCTGAGCTCACGATAGCCTCACCTGGGTTTGGTCTGCGCCTGCTAGCATCAACACCGTCGTTATTGGTGACCAGCTTTGTTGCAGCTTTGACATTGAGAGGTGCAACAAAAGTAGTCGAATTGCTTACAGCTGATGTGGAAAAGCATTTTGTTCCAGGACATAAATCCCATTTCACATAGAGATTCTTGACATTTCTCTCTTTGAGAGAAAAATAATGTCTGGACTTCCACTTAAAAAAAATGCTAAATTTGAATTATCTGGGATCTCCATGACTGTGCCTCTGTCTGTATATGTTTGTATGTGAACACTCGCCCAAGTCTACCTCTGGTTGGTTTACCATGAATACTTCACTTCATCAGCAGCACTCATGCAATTGTTTGCCCCCCCCCCCCAGCTCCCAGTAGGAGGAAGACGGCTTCAACCCATTGTGTGCTAAAAAATAGTCATGTGTAAAGATAACGGCATTGTAATAATAGAAAAAGTAATTAGTTAGATTACCCATTACTGAAAAATGTAATGTCGTTTATTTTAATGCCATTATTCCCATCATTGGTAGCCAGTATGGTAACCACTGATCTATCAATCCCTCTATTTTCTGTGCAGTTTAAGTAGAGATGCCCCACATAATTACCTGAAAAACAGTTGAGAGGTACAGTTCAGTAAATACACTATGAAACTTTATTAGATGCACATTATTAGGGTTGGACTTCCCGTTACCTGAAGATCTGCATAGATTCGACAAGGTTGCTGGAAACATTCCTCAGACATTTTGGCCCATATTTACATGATAGCATCACACAGTGGCTGCAGGTTTGTCAGCTGCACATCGATAATGTGATCCATCACATCATGAAGTGCTCTATCAGACTGAGATCTGGCAACTGTAGACAGCATTTGAATGCAGTGAACTCACTGCCATGCTCAAGAAACCAGTTTGATGTTATCTAAGCTTGGTAACGTGTATCATCTTGCTGGAAGCAGACATTGGAAGATAGGTACATGTTACCATAAAGGAATGGGCATGATCAGCAACATTCCTAGTGTGGTGGTTAAACATTTCTTGGTTGGTACTAAAGAGTCCAGAGTGTGCTAAGAAAATGTCTCCCACACTATTGCACTGCCACTAACAGCCTAACTTTCGATTCTATAATCTAGTAATTGGAAGGTTGGTGGTTCGATCCCTGACTGCTTCAGTCTGCATGCTTAAGTCAATGGATCCAAGATTTCCTGCCGTTTACACAAAATTCAAACCTTCCCAGGCATCTTATTTTGTCCGGTTTAGGTGAGTCTATGTTAGCTGTAACCTCTGTTCCCTGTTCTTAGCTGACTGGTGTGGTCTTGTGCTGTTGTAGCCCATCTGCTTCAAGGTTCAACGTGTTGTTTGTTCAAGGATGCTCTTCTGCATATTTATGTTGTACCGAGTGGTTATTTTAGTTACTGTTGCCTTTTTAACAGCTCAAAGCACTCTGGCCATTTTCCTCTGACCTCTAGCAGGAACAAGGTATTTTCTCCTTGATAACTGCTGCTCACTGGATATTTCCTGCTTTTCAGACCATTCTCCAACAGCTATGCCATATTTAAAGTCACTTAAATCACCTTTTATCCCCACTCTGAAGCTCAGTTTGAACTTCAGCAGGTCGTCTGGGCTAAATGCATTTAGTTGCTGATTGTGCAAAATTTTAACCTTTATAAAATTCTAAAGGGTGACTTAAAAAAAATCACCAATTTTTATTTGGTAAATGAAATGTAAGAATAAACGTGTTTATGTAACTGCAAAACATCATTTTTTGTGCAGCAACTTTGGTTTCAGTTTTATGACTTGGCTTTGGCTTCATCTCACAACACTGGATGTTGTGGCTCATCTGTAAATAGTATTTTATGGTCGCAGTGGGTCACGGTGGAGCCAAATTTGACACTTTGGATCTATATCAATGCATTTAAATTATTGTATTGTGTAAGCCTAACATCTGAACTGCAGTGATATATGAGTAACATAAAATGCTAATACCGAAGAAAGAGCATCTTGAGAAGTAATGGTTAATTACCTTTGCTGCACTGCTGCATTTTGTATCTGACTTTGAGGCAAATTTTAAACACTGAGTTTTGTTTTTGTAATTTAGAACAGACTTAGTCCAGAGGTGATTTCTGCCTGTTTAAAAACACATGATCTCCACCCAGATACATAAAACGGAATAATTTGGGAATCAGACTCCTCTTTCCTTCTGTCCCTCTCTATCCCATAGCACCCGTCCCTGCCGCCCCCGACACACATGCACACATAAGCGACATGCCCCTCCCGCTCTTGTTTGCATGCTTATCACCTGCCTAAATTCATGCTGTTTATTCGTCTCATATCTCATTCTTCGCCAAACTATTTATTCATCTGATCCCATTAAACTGGGAGCCAGTGTGCATGCAAAGTCTCACTTTCTTTTTACAAAGCCAGAAACACCTCACCTCAGTAGACAGTGAGACTCCACCTCAATATAATAACATCACAGATATGTGATCAATAATTAATTAACAAACCCAGAAGTGATAATTAGCATCAGACATACATTGGCTCCCTTACTGTATCCACAGTGTCTTTAAAAACAGTGCAGTTACGCACTGAGGCAGATGGAACTAGACAGCTTGAGCAGGCAGTTGTGTTACTATTGTTTTGTGTTTTCGAGGGGTTTAATATGGTAATCAGCATGATCCTTATGGGCAAGCCGGAACATCAGCTGCATCTAGCGTGCATAGAACAATGCTGCATTGATCTGTGTACTTGTGCACTGCATTTAAGTACTCTACAGAAATTCAGTAGACCCTTCACAGCAAGATTGCAGCTCATATTGATTTTTTTTGCATTCTTTTGAAAACTATCTTTAGAGCACATGAAGGACGCTGATACAAGGTTTGTCTGTGAATATGTGTTAGGAATTTCTGAACGCTAATAGCCGTGACTCCTCTCTGGATGCCAGCACAATGTTTAAATAAATTATAAAAGATTCTGAATGTTATCATACAGAATAGTTTATTCCCAGGTCAAGTGTTGTTTTTGATGTGAAAGATGGACCCACAGCTTTCCTTAGGTAAATGTATCAGTACTCTTTGTAGTGTGTTGCCCAGTTGCTCCTAGTGTCACGGCGGGGTGCGCCGATGTGCGTGGAAACAGGACCCAAAAGCAGATGACGACGAGGAGTAGTAAGGTTTTAACAGAAAGGTGATGCTTTATTAAGATGACGGCAGGGAATAAACCAGGAAACCAAAACAAACTGGCAAAACACTAAGAAACAAAACACTAAAGGTACTAAGACCAAAAACTATAACTATGACTGTGGCGAAAACTAAGACTAAGGTCAAAATAACCAACACCCAATGTGTTTGTGTACCACTCTGCATTTAATTGTTAGTTGTTAGTAAATGGCTCTCTTCCACAGTGTGTCTGTGTGTCTTGCGGCAAGTGACCTCCTTCTTCCTGTTAAGAAGGAGTTCTTCCTTTCCCCTATCTCTTGCTCACAAGGAGTTGCCACTGTATTATAGCAGGTTATTTTCCTTACACTATAAACCCCCTTGAGGTGACTATTGTTGTGATTTGGCACTATTTAAATAAAGCTGAACTGAACTGAATCCATTGACTTGAGGGATTGTTGGCTGAATGGTGAAAATAATGTGAAACTGCTTTGTTATGCGCACATTTTTTTTCAAGTGAATATTTGTTAAAAAATAATATTAACTATAAACAATAAAGCTACCAGATACCTGGTCAGATAACAGAAGAGGAGTAAAAAGTGCCATATGAAATGGCGTAGAAGCAGAAAGTAGCATTAAATGGAGATACTCAAAGTACCTCAAAATTGTACTGAATTAATGTGATAGAGCTATACAGTTCCATAATTAGATGAGATCCATTGCGGATTTGTATGATCAAAGTGCAGTTCTGTTTAGATTGTGTGTCCGACTCATATGGTTATTTACCTTGAGAGCCCCACTGCATGCTGCCTATTTAATGACTGAAAATGTCGCACTCCTAATTAAAAGTACACCTGTGGCTTCATGCACCCGATGGGAAACACTCTCCATCTCCATACTCTAATTTGCCAGGGCATTGCCCAGTTTGTCTGAGTGCCAGCCAACAAAGGGCTTAATTTGCACTTGTGTGTGTTTGTGTGTGTGTGTTTCAGGCTAGATGAGACAGCCTAACCCTTACTCACAAGGAGACTAGTAGTTCTTCAAAATTGTTTTGGATGTTTGATGTTATGATTCGTCCTCTGTTGGTCCTGGTAAGGGAATTACTGTCTCAAGTCTTTAATGTCAAGGATTTAGAGACGTGATGATTACAGCTTTGTACCTCAGTGCTCCTCATTTAACATGATGAGCCCATTTTTAATCAGTTTGATGGTTTGGATTCAGCAGTTCAACTACTACTTCGGACTGCAAATGTTGAAAGTCACCCTTTTTATAGACAGTTGTTTAGAGTTACATAAGATTGACACTAGTTGCATCGTATGCCTGCAAGCAGCGGCCTAGCTTATCCTACGACTGGCTACATGCTGGAGGCAGTTGAATAGCTAGCCTAGCTCTCTACAAGCATAACAAGGGGGGCTTTTCAACTTTTCAATTATTGCTTTAATTTGTTATTTTTTAAACATTGTTTTGTGGACTTGGAGAGGGCATTCGACCATGTCCCTCGGGGGGTCCTGTGGGGGGTGCTGTGGGGGGTGCTCCGGGAGTATGGGGTGTCTGGCCCATTGCTACGGGCCATTCAATCCTTATACAACCGTTGCAAGAGCTTGATCCGCATAGCCGGCAATAAGTCGGACTCGTTCCTGGTGGGTGATGGGCTCCGCCAGGGCTGCCCTTTGTCACCGATTCTGTTCCTAATTTTATGGACAGAATTTTTAGGTGTTGCCAAGTGGCGGAAGACTTTCACTTGGATGGTCTCAGAATCTCATTTCTGCTTTTCACGGATGATGTGGTTTTGTTAGCTTCATTGGGTGAGGGCCTCCAAGCTCGCCTTGAAATGGTTCGCAGCTGAGTGAAGCTGTGGGAATGAGAATCAGCACCTCCGAATCTGAGGCCATGGTCCTCAGCCAGAAAAGGGTGGAGTGCCCACTCCGGGTCAGGGACGAGTTCTTGCCCTAATTGGAAGAGTTCAAGTATCTCGGGGTCTTGTTCATGAGTGACAGAAGAAGGGAGCGGGAGATCGACAGACGGATTGGTGCAGCGGCCACAGTGATGCGGACGCTGTACCGGTCTGTTGTGGTGAAGAGAGAGCTGAGTGTAAAAGCGAAGCTCTCAATTTACTGGTCGATCTACGTCCCTAAGTGAGGGACCTATGGTCACGAGCTGTGGGTAGCGACCGAAGCAACAAGATCGCAAATACAAGTGGCGGAAATGAGCTTCCTCCAAAGGGTGGTTGGCGTCTCCCTTAGAGATATGCTGCTCCTTCACATCAAAAGGAGCCAGTTGAGGGGGTTCGGGCATCTGACAAGGATGCCTCTTGGGTGCCTCCTGGATGAGGTGTTCCGGGCATGTCCCATCAGAAGGAGGCCCTGGGGTAGACCCAGGACACACTGGAGAGATTATATCTCTCGGCTGGCCTGGTAACACCTTGGTGTTCCCCTGGACAAGCTGGATGAGGTGGCTGGGGAGAGGAAGGTCTGGGCTTCTCTGTTTTGGCTGCTGCCCCCGCGAACCGGCCCCAGATAAGCGGAAGAAGATAGATGGATAGACATATTAAAAGAACAAAATACAATCCACTATTAAGTGAATGTTAGAGGTAGACGTGTGTGCACATTTTAGAACAAGTCATTATACTAAAGATAAACTGCTGTTGCAGTTTCATATACCAGCAGCCAAACATGAGAGTGGTATCGATCTTTTCTACCGTTGAGAGCAAATGTGTGAACAGATGATCCAACTATTCAGTCAACATGTCTTAAACAACATGATCAGCATTCAGAGTCGAGGCTTTCTGTTACTTAGCCTCATAACATATTAAATTAAAATTGCCAAATCAGAGCCTGTGTGTCAGACTGGCTTAAGTGAGTGTATTTTATAGAATTCACTGTTCATATTACATACATGTCTAAACGCTGATGCTCATAATGAAGTCTTCTCACAGCTACTGAATTATGCAGAGGCATTTCCTATAAAAAAAAAAAAATCACATCAGCTTTGACTTGATAGAATGCAAATTTGTTCATTTCCCTTAGGCATTTGGAAGAAAGTAATTAAGCAAAGGACCCTTTGTCTTCAGAATGCTTTTTGAGTCATTTCATCGCAGGATAAGAGGACTATCTGTCAAGAGAAAAGCTTTCATGTACCATTGAGTGTGTTGACTTTTTCTAATCTATTGTTCTCCTAGACATTTTTCTCAAAAGTTTTCCGGTGCAACCGGGAGAGCTGAAGGACAAACTGTTCATCATTAATGAGAAAGATGGAGGCCTGTCTGATGAGCACATCACCTCTCTGAGGAGGTATGACTTGGTGCCAAAAAAACGCTGATTTGTATTCACTCCTTATAGTGTCACAACTGAAGCTGAGAGGTGAACATCTTTTTGTGCCCAGGTCCGTGGGCGGTTGATGTGTGTTTTCATTGGCAGAGGTAAAGCCTTTGGAAACTAGATGCTAAACAAATCATCAACGGGGATGTGGGTCCATGTTACTGCCAGGACAATGTGAAATGGGGGAAACCGCTGCCAATTCATGTGAGGAAGAAACACAGCAGTATTCACTGTGTTTTAATACTAAAGAGCAGATGCCAGAACCTTTTACTAGAGCAGCTCACTAATAAAAGTTTTATCTCGGGTTATTTGCAGAGATGGAAACTATTGACATGCCCTCAGGAATAAAACACAGCAAGTGGGTAAAATGCTTCCTGATTCTTACCTGCAGTTTACTTAGTGACTCTGTGTGCTGACCTCCTGGAAGGCAAAACTGATCTAATGTACTGTGGGGACGGTTTTATATATTCTGTGAAAACATAATATATATTTTAATGCGTGGTGGCGTCGTCCTGAGGAATACAATCTTGAAAGAACCACTCCCAACAGGTGCTGCAATATTGATGACCGGTGCTACTCCGGTGGCACATAGGCTGACTCGTGAGAAGGCGAATGTCTATGGTTTGAGGTCAGAACTCACAGGAATGTCAGAAGTAGGAAGCCCAGTTTAAGACGAGAGAGAGGTTCAAATTCAGTGCAAGCGAATAAATGGCTCTTCCCATCAACGTCTCGCTGCTTTATAGAAGCTCACGAGGACCATCAGCGTTACTTGGCTTTTAATCACTCGCCTTTCCCTTGGCTACTAGAAATCAGTCTAATGGCATCGCTTCATGGGGCCAAGCAAGAAAACATGTGATGACATACCTGAACAAAGATCAAAAGGGAGAAGTACATATGACAAAAAAAGGAAATGTAACATAAAATTTTAAAGTCAGTCTAAAGGTCTAAATGTATGCATCTTTTTCTGATGCTTAAACAACGACTGATATTAGAGATAGCTGCACTTGATGTGTTTTTACCTTTTTGACATGGCGACACGTCATATTCAACTCTTTACTCTTTTTTTAAAGATTAATAAGTTGAAATAACTCTCCGGTTCATACAGTACTACTATTCTTAGTCAAATGTCGCTCTAAATTTCACACACGGGCCATACTAACAAATATCTCTATCAAAATAAAAACAAAAGACTGTAAATATGTACAGCTGACACAGTGTTGTTAACCAGTAGAAAATAAATTCATAGCTCCACATACAGCATACTGTTTGAGGATGGGCGCTTTTCCCCCTTAGCAATAAAATATTCACTGTGGCACAGAAAAAGATATCAGTTCTGGAATGAAAATTTCTGCTTTTGATTGTTGCCAAGGTTTTCTTCATTCTTGATTTTAAGTTTTTTTTTTTCCATGTTCTATGATTTTTTTTTTTTGTTCATTTTTAATTAGAAAACTATAAACTCTGTTATTTGTGTGATGTACTGTCACCACTCTTACCTAATGCTTGCACTGGGAACTATATATGCATTAGGTGGACATATTGTAGCTCCACGTGTGGAAGATCTTAGGGTGTATTTGTTGACAGCACCATATCAATTTAGAAAAAAAAATCTGCCTTTGTTCAGTTTATATATAATTGCTGATTGCTGTCGGTGGCCAGAAAAGTCCATTTCTGAACATTTATTGACCTTGGACAATGACAAATTACTAAATAAATTGACTTAATCTTCATTAATTACACTTGCCTGTCAGATTTAACCACATAGCTTATCTTTTATCTTCAGCCCCTGAACACATTGTGACTAAAAGACAAAAGGCACATAAAAAGCAAACAAATCAAACATTAAATTTTGTAAAGGAATGTACGTGATATGAATGTAGGTGAGAAAAATGTGTAAAATTGATTAAAACCGAGAGGCATAAAAGCCTAACAAGACTAACCGTCCCAGATGACACACACATACAGGCAAATATGAAAAAAAAAGGGAAATGAACATAGACATCTCATATGACATATGGCATATAAGCCCAGAGGCAAAAAAGAAATCAGACATCACGTTGGCACTGTTGTTTTTCCAGCAGCAGCAGATTTCTACAGGATGTTGAAGCAAGTCTCCCAAATCAGCTGGAACTTATTTTCCAACCACGTAGGAAAGAAAAGACTGATTGGCAAATTCACATAAAATTGAAGGACCCAGACTATTACAGCCCTCTAAACGGGCTCCGTATTTATCCACCAGATGAATATTAATGACTAAATAAGCATCGAGTTTTACGAATATATTTAGGTATTACTGATTACAAATTAAACTCAAAAGACTCGGATAATCTGAAGTGTCAGGACTATGTGAGTGTGGTTTGATTAGACCGGACAGACAGAGAGCAGACAAGTGATTGATTAAAGCTCAAAAGAGTATGAAATCACCTTTTCAGAACTAAGCCTCAGAGGAGAAAGGGGGGAAATAGCAGGACAATGATATACTCAAAAAATGTTTAAAACTGTTGTTTGGCAAGAAATGTTCATTGTGAAACCATCTGATTGGTTATTTTAACAGGTAAATAGCATCTGTATGTAAAAAGAACAGCAAACATTTTCTTCTTATTTATTTATTGTTTTATGTTTAAGGTATGTCCCCACCATGGAAGATGTGGAAAGGTACAAATCCTACAAAGGACCTGTAGCTGAACTGCATATTGTGGACCAGTACATGATGGAGGTACAATTTTTAGTTACATGTATCATCTTCATATAAAATTAAAAATTAGGTATACAAGCTCATAACATACATGCTCGCTAACATAAAACAATAGGAATGGTTACAATAAGCTGCAGGCCTAAAACATCAGTGTTCAATAAAATAAACTTCTAACTTGTAGCTGATCAATACACACACTGCATTTTAAATTGTACAAATGTTACCACTAAATTCATTACAAACCAGTTTTTTGACATCCTGCATTGACACTAAGCGTGACATTGTGGCTGCACCAAATGCACTCTTATTTTATAAGTTGCACTTAAAATTTAATGAGAAACATGGGCTTGTGCTTCATTGACGGCCTTCTTCATTCTCGGTGGCAGGGGAGACTGCAGTCATCAAACTGCTTTTGAGGCGCAGCCTGTTTCATTGCTTTGTAGAAATCCTCACACACACACACTCGCACATGTGGATCATTTCTTTCTCTGTTTTCTGCTCTAATGCTGCAACGTTTCAACCACACATTTCGGATTTCTTGATTTTCTTTTGCCTTTGGTTAAATGGCTAAAACTGAATTTCCACTCACAGGGAATGGAAATAGGTAACAAACAACTGCATCAAAAACAGGAATACAGTTGAAAATAGAATATAGTTTATAACAGTTTATTTTTTTCAAGTTTCCACTTCATTGAGCTAATTATAATTTATTACTTTAGAAATTGGGAACCAATAATTGGTCATTTAGAAACATGATATTCCAATATAGTGGCATGATGGTTAGCACTATTGCCTCACAGCAAGAAGGTCCTGAGTTCAGGTCTGCTCGTGTTTGTGTGGGTTCTCTCCAGGTACTCTGGCTTCCTCTAACAATCCAAAACACATGTAGTTAGTGGGGTTAGGTTAACTGGTAACTCTGGTTACCAGAATGGTTTTCTGTCTATGTGTGTTAGCCCTGCGAAAGACTGGCAACCTGTCCAGGGCGTACCCTGCCTCTCGCCCTAAGATAGCTGGAATAGGCTCCAGCCTACTTACGACCCTGACAAGGAGAAGAGAATGGATATATTAACAAATGAGACATAAAAAGATTTTTTTCACATTTGTTATCTGAAGGATGTTTCTCTCATCTTTACTTTACTTTTAAAAATTTATTAGTCCTTGTTGCTAATAGTAATAGATCACCAAATAGCCAATATGCCAATTGGCTTATGCTTTACTCGCTAGGTGTACCAGCACCACTTTTTGTTACCATCCTGTCCACTTCTCAAGTAGTACAAGGTTGGAAAATAGTACCAACTTTCAGAAGTTTCACTGAAAAAACTGTAGTGGTTTTCCGTGCATGCAATCCCTCCAAGTAGGGAATGCTATTGCACACACAGAAACATGCTGTGGAGCACACTGAATGGAGCATTAAAGTTGAAGGTGGGAGTGTCATTTCTCACTGAGCCTTCTCCCCTTTCCTGTGAACTTTACCTTAATGTGACCCCGCCATGCTGGGAGACATGCTCTTGGTACCCTGTACCTTAGCAGTGCTCTTGTCAACCGTGACGGGCAGCACCTGATGACTCTGTCCTTTATATTCTGTGTAGGAATACCAGCCATACTACAGTTACAAGAAGAAGGATTGGTTATGCTGTTGTTTTTTTTTTTAAACTTACTGCAGTTTGTCTTTTCACTTCCCAAAGAAATGCAAAGAAAAACACGACTTTTGTTTAACCCAGTTTGAACTAGGATAGTCTAAAGCACTGATTTAGAGAATGATACAGGGGGCTGTTGGCTATCCCAGCTGGTTACTGGGTAACCAGTTCATCACAGACCAAATCAGACAGAAAGAAAACCATTCACACTCAGATTTACACCTACAGCGATTTTAAAATCACCGCAAAACCAGTGAATGTCTTTATACTGCGCCCACGCGGGCGGAAGAATGTGCAAACTGTAAACAAAAAAGGGCAGCAGGATGAAAACCAGAACATTCCTGCAGAACATAACAGTTAACTAACCACTGCACGAATTCTACCCTACCAGAATTACAATTACAAGAATTTAAATAGCAAATTTCAGATCTCACGATTAAAGCAGCATCCAATGCATGCTCATTTAGCACTTTGCTCACGAGAACTTGTTGAGTCACCTGCCTTCTCAGTCACACACCACGGCTGTCATGGCAGGCATCATCTGGTTATCACTTTCCAGCAAGGTTGGCAGTGATTTGGTGGCTCGAGGTTGCAGCAGGGTTAGCAGATGAACAGCCAGAGCAGCCCACACTGCCACACAGGAATATTTGACAGTGTGTTTTTTTTAAAATGGGATTTCGTATGCAAGCCTGGGTTGAGTGGCAACACCTTCGTAAGCCTCATGTACTTCTGAAGGCTCTGAAGGCTCAAACCTCCATGCAGACAGGCTGGATTCTACTAAATAAACAACAAAATCAGTTCTATTTATTATTGTCAACTAACAGGTATTCAAACTAAAATACCATTAACTAATGTTCTGCGGGGTTTATTCATTCCAGACATCCACCCCATAAATCCATCGATCCATCCATCCAATCTCTTACGCTTATCCAATACAGAGTCATGGGGAAGGTGGAGCTTATCCCACAGGGGCACAGGGTACACTCTGGATAGGCCAAAAGACTGTGGCAGGGTTCACACAGAGAGAAAAGCTACCATTCACTCTTGCATTCACACCTTTAGCCAATTCAGAATCACAGGTGAACCTAACCTAAGGCCAGAGTACCCATAGAGAACCCACCCAGACACAGGGAGAACATGCAAACTCCACACAGAAAGGCCCCAGCACCTTCTTTCTGTGAGCCAAACCAATCTAAAGTACCGTGCCATCCTAACACAATTTGAATATGTTTTCTATGCAAGACATGTGATAGTCAGTATTTATGCTTTTGCACCACACCTTGTACACACTTTACAACATGTGTGGTCTTCTGGTGCTTTATTGTATTTTGAAACTGAACATTATGTTAGAACCTTCAAGCAACTGTTTAATTATTCTCTGTTTACGGAGTATCAATAAAACTACTTATTGGATACAGCTGGAAGCAACAGTTTGGGAACCCCTGAGCTAATTTGCTCAATTTGTTGATTTCTGAAGTGACAAGAAAACTCAAGCCCTGCAGCAAGCAGACATTAAAATGGAATACTCTTTGCACTGCTGTTATTTTATCTGTGAAACTTCAGATCAGTAATTTTGGTGCATAAACCAGGCACCTTTTGAAGCCAGTCCTTCTGTACTGAATTAGGAATTCCTCTTACCTTTCTTGAATAGCTCATGATGGATTAACAGTATGTTGGATTTTGAAGTATGCAGTGTCTTGAGTGACTGCAGGACATCTGCATTCAGAATGCACTGGTATTTAGTGAAATCCATTCTTTTCTTTATCCCTGCATTACTTCTTGTGCTACAGGCTGCTCGAAGCAGAATTTTCTACCCAGTGTTTAACAGCTGACATTTCTCCCCATCAGAAACGGTTTAGTTTCATTTTTCTACAAACATAACGATTGTGGCCAATCCCCCCCAAAAAACAAAAAAGCAACCCAATACAAACCCCCCAGTAACTAACTCAATTCTAACATCACTTTTTCTTCAGGCATTGACTTTTGTGATTAGTGTGTGTGTAAGATTTCCCACTGAAAACTCTTTCATACACAAGAGGTTTGTTCATCAGTGCTGCGCTGTGAAAAGAGGGCATTAGCACTATTGTGCCAGCATGACTCTTCCACAGCTCCTTTGCAGTCATTGTTCCCAAACATGTATTGACCTCTGTCGTTTCCCTTAACTGACATTTCCTAATGGCGCTTTAAACAGCAGAAATAGGCTGCCGCAGAGATGACGTATTTTTGTACAGTAACCTGGAAGTTGGAATCACCTTGATAAAATGATAAATTAGATTATTTTTTTTAATAAATAACAAATGAGCTCTTGTGTTAACGGCAAAATAAAAAGTTCCGTGGGAGAAAAACTGTTTTTGATGAAACTTTATCAGATGTAAATAAGGTACTTTTGGCTGCTTCCTTATTTATTAAGTTGTTGCCACAGTGGATGGATCTGCAGTTTGATGTTATACCCTTCTTGATACTATCTTCACATTTATTCCGCTTACAAGAAGTAAGCCAGCTTATGAAGCTGAGCTTGTTTCTCTTTCCAATCTCAAACCCTTGATGCGTTAACCACTACACCATTAAAACATTAATATTAGGGGTATGTCACGGTTTGCGGGGCAGACTGTGTGGGGTGTGTGTGGAGGACCCGGGTGCGGACACAGATGAGAAGACACACTAAACTTAAACAAAAGGCGAGCCGTTTATTTTGGCTGATAAAACATGAATACAAAATAAAGCAAAGGCAACAGGGCGTAAACTAACCTAAAAACTATCCTGGGAAAATTAAACTATGATAATCGTGACTGAACTGTGATAACTATGGTGATACACATGAACATGATTCAACCCAGGAATGTGCGAAAAAACTATGAACAACAAGCACATGAAACATGAACACAACCTGAGCAGAACCATGACATACATGGAACTTGAGGTAACGTGGTGGGAGGAAACAGACAATTCAACACAGACTGAATGAAACAGAGAGACTAAAGACCCACGTGGATGTTTAGGGAAGTGGAAACACATGAGGGGAAACAGCTGACACACATGAACCTAATGAGGGGACGGGAAGTGAAACTAAATATATTACCAGACTCTTTCAAAATAAAACAGGAAACATGAAGGACGGAGACATAATACTAACTTGACAACATGAACCAACAAGGGGGACTGGAACATAAGGGGTGACGACACGAAATGATCTAGGTAAACAAAACAAACACTGAGCAACTATGAGCTTTAGGAATAACTAGATGAACTTAACATAAAGTAATATCAAAATACAAGAAGACTAAAATCCAAACTAATAACAGCAACAACAAGAACTAAATACATGTTTAATAATAATAATAATATAACTCAACAAATACCAAAATGAAGATAAAATGCTGGGTCACAGATCCAGCCCGTGACAGAATATAAACAAACTACACTGTGGTCACATGACTTCAGCATCTCTTAACCTGGTAAGACCCAACCCATCAAAAAATAGCCAGAAAATTCAGATGTTTTGGAACTGACATGTTTATTAACCCTTACAACAAAATCCTTTTTTTTTTTTGCTATATCATGTTCTGTATCATATATTTAAAAAAAGAGTTTTGTCCGTAGCATTTTGAAATTATGGCAAGCATTGATCATGTTGATGAGATAGAGGTCTCACAAACTCATGTATCAAATATGATACAAAGGGCATTAGACGGTTAAGCTTCTGTGTTGGATATGATGACAAACGTGCCTAGAAACTTGTGCAGTTTCATTTAACAAAACTGCTTTTTTCCAACACCCAACATCTGGTAGAACAACAGAGCCAAGAAGCACAACATCTTTTACAATCCTTACACCTTTTCTAGGATTCAGTTAGTTTACACCTTCTATCCACTGTTTAGATGTACCCACAGCTGCAACGTTTTAAGCAAACATTATGAAAGTCTCAATTGTCATCCTACTAAGTAAAATGAGGCCAGAAACAACATCAGAGAGACGGGGAACCTAAAATCTATGGAGAATTTGGAAACAGCAAAGATGGAGGTAGAAAAACATTAATGGGAAAAAAATGTCTTTTAAAATCTTATTTTGGGGCAAAGACATCAAGGCTTTGAAGTCTTTTTTTTTATCAGATTTGGATTTTGTGACATTTTTATATTTAATTGACCATTTAAATTAAAGGTCATTTAAATATATCTTCAAATAATTGTATAGATGGCTCCCAATGGCTTCTTCTAGTACATCTAGTGAATTAATAAAGTACAATCAGTCTTCTTTTAGTCCTTATATATACTGTAGTTAGATGGCAAACAGTGCCTTGTCCACTCTCTTTTTCTTGTAAATATAGAGTAGGTGCACTGTATAATAAAGTGAATTAAAAGTCTGTTTACAGTATATAGTATACAGTTTAAGTGCCCAGCAAACATTTCCGTGCTGTAAATACAGCTTTACAGAGCAGCTTGCAAATCAGCAGAGTCTTGTCTTTGCTGTTGACAGTTGGAAATGGTCTGGTTATCTGCCTTACAGCTCTGAGTAATCACTTCCCTCTCAGGATGCTTGTGGACATAAGAGTGGCATCCTCGAAGCATATTTTCCATTGAGGTAAAATATATTAGGGATGAAGCGTAGGTATTTTTCTTAAAATAAATCAAATCCTACTCATGCTGTCTGTGTTGTCATACTCTTGTATATAGCAGTCTGTCTCGCGCTACAATGTATAGGAGGTTTTATCCGGTGTATGTATGAAAGCTGGCTATTTTTCACAAAGCGAAAGTGTGCTGTCTCGCAGTAGAAAAGTTGCAATGTTTTCGTTTTTATAATCAGATTTGGTGAAGATGAAAATTTCATCTTGTGCGTTATAGAAAATGTTGTCAAAATACCTGAAAATCTGACAGTGACAAATAAGCAAACACTTTTAGTTTTTAGCCCAGAGTGATGTCCTTTTAGCGGTATTAGACTGACACAGAACCCCTGTAACTGTTACCCTCGCATTTGAAATTTAAAACGTGACAGAAAGTGTGAAAAAATAACGAGCCCAACGCTTGCACGTGTGGAGGATGTGTCATCCTCCACAACAGGGGAAATTATTACATGATATAGATTTCTAACACTAATCCTGATACCTATCCGTAACTGTCCGTCAGACTAGGTGCCCTTTGCCTTTTGGGAGATGGTACCTGAGCATCAGCGAGCCAGTCTGACAATGAAGAATGATTTATTAGAGGTTAGCACAGACACAAAGGTCGACTAGGCAGCTCAGCCAATCGTTTCAAAGTGTCAAGCCTTCAGTTTCTCAGTTAAATCAGCCTGTCGACAGGCCTGCAGCTCTCTGCTTTTGCCTGCGGTAATCTTGAATCTGAGAACAAGCCTCAGCCATCCGATGACTGTATCTCCCCCAGGATCTCCCAGCAGCTCTGCTTTTTAGATAATTCTGAATAATCACATGGAAATAGGCTGTGTGATGATGTGATAATTGCGCTCTCTTCTGTATATCCACAGCTCATTACTGTTACATCTTTTCTCTGCTACAGATGTGCAACATCGCCTACCTGAGCACACAACTCGACCTGTTGTTGACTCTGAGAGAGCTTCCGATCAGCATGAACGACCTGCAGCCCGTGAGTTCACTCGATCACCAGCAGAGTCAAATCAAAGGTCGATTTAGATGTTGAGCTGTGTTTAAAGTCTGCCCCATTTCTACAGGCTGAAAAAGGGTAAAACCACGAGACTGCACAGCACATAATCAAACACCTCCATGCAAATTTATTCTCTAATGCAAATGCTAATGCCCAGATACATCGTAGCTTTAGACATAAATGAAAAGAACATCTGTGCACAAAATACTATTAATACATGAAAGCTTTTCCCCCCTCTTCAGTTTGACTTTTAGGTTTTATGTGGCGGGTGAAGTAGTTTCTATTCTATTTGCTGGAATGTTAAGAGTCTTGAAAACACAAAAGCATGAGAAGCACTTTAAGACACTTTTCTTCATTTGACGGAGAAGAAAAGATGGCTCTTAATCAAATCAAGTTTAATTTTTCTGCAGGTGGTTTAAAACCACCAAAGTTTAAAAGAAAATCCTTATCAAAATACCCAATGAAAACTCACTTTGGAGTTATCACAAAGGAAGAGATGTGGAAAGATTTATGACTTTTTCTTCTTTCTGCAAACTTCTAGACCCACTTCAAAGACAGACACTTTTAAATTAATACAGGTAAAATCAAATGAAAAAAACACACACTCACACAAAGTTCCAACTCAAATAATAATATACTATATAATATATATATATATATATATATATATATATCATATATATATATATATACTATATTTAATTTTAGTATCTTCTTAACCCTTACACGAACACCTGAAATGCTTTTGGTTTGTGTAGTTCGAGTATCCAGAGATTCCTGTTCATCATTAGTCAGACTGATCGTTAACACTCTTATCGCGCATTGTTGTTTATTGGCACTGGGGACTGCAGGGTGTAAAGATATTGCAGGCAGACAAGAATGCCCCCCAGCACCTCAGCCATTTTTTTATGTGATTCTCTCAAGCTTCTGTTTCTTTCAGCATCAGTGCTTCAACCCTAATCTCTTGTCTGCTGACTGTCTGAGAATGAAGAGAAACAATGGATAAGAATGATGGCACTGTAATCCATTGACTGTGACAGTAATTTTTCTTTGTCTAACACACAGGGACAAACATATTGTGTGCCGGCAAGATGACTCGACAAGAAAGATTAGCAATTTCATTAAGTTTCAATTTACTCTTGGCTTTTTGCTTCTGATATTGTTTTCTTTCTACTGTGTTATTAAAAAGGTCATTCAATCAAAAGCTTTGGTATTTGCGTACAGGTACACTGTGACAAAAAGGTAAGGTGCACTTCAGATTTAGGTCCTTCCTAGTACAGTGTGTTCAAACATTAGGGTCCTCGTAGTCGCAACATAGTTGCAAATCCTTGGATTCTCCAACACGACAGGCTTCTTAAGGCACTAACATTAAGAAGGATTTACCTGCCACCTGACAGACAGGACTTGAGGAGGGAAAATGGCAAAGTCACCACTGTGGGAATGCTTCTCACCTGTGATGTGCTTGTTGGTGTTTCACTGCAAGGATGACAGCTTTTACTCTGCATTGTGGCCCTAGCTTTTTCTTTAAACATTTGCTGTGCTCTGTGTGCAGCTATTTCAAATATACATATAAGAAATGCAAAGTCACAGAGCCAGAGCCATTGATGCAGTAGACAGGGAGGCATCACCTGAAGCTGTGATGTACAGAATGATAAAACCAAATGTAGTATTTTCAGTAGATATATAAATGGTGAACTATTCTAAAACAAGACACAATACAATCTTGTGTAATTTGACAGAAAGCCTTGCTGTAGTAAAAAAAACACGAAAATAAAGAAAGCCTTGCAGACTTCATCTGAATGCACAAAACATCAAATATGAATATGAAACTTTAGCAACTTTAGCATTAAAGAAATATACAAATGTTTACCAGATTGACTTTATCCGTTAAAGGGAACTTATTATTCTAATTTTAACTCCATGTTTTTATTGTTGGATTCTACTAGACTTTAAATGATTGACAACTAAAAATAATCCTTATTATCTTATACCAAAGCTCTTCAGACCACTCTAGTTCCCACTTTAAGGCTACTGTCCCTTTAAGCCAGGTTTCTTCAGTAGGTGGGCGGGGCTTCTGTGCCTGCCATAGCCATATTTGGCATACCCCTTTTTAACAGCATACATCTCCTGGAGCATTGGTTCAAAGGGATTAGTTGTAAATACATTGATCCAATTATATGAAACTCAGGTTTAACGTGGACATTCACCATTGTAACAATGGTAAATAAAAAAGCACAGAAAAGTATAATAAGTCATCTTTTCTCCTCAGAAAACAGAGACAATCTGGGAGGCTCGGCTCTGTTTTTCTTCTTTGAGTTCAGGTTGGGCTAATTGTCTTCTCTTTGTAACTGCGGTTTTCAATTACCAGTGGGTGTTCTTGGCCTCCTTGCTTTTGGAGCCAGCAGTGAGCCTATTATAGCTTGCAGCATCCAAATGAAATAAAGAACATATATTAGAAAACGTATCTGGACAAGCCGCACACAGTTAGGTCTATAAAGTTTTGGACATTTACATAGTTTCTGTAGTTTTTCTTCTGTGCACCACTACAGTGCATTTTAAATCAAACAATCAAGATGTGACTGAAGTGCAGGCTTGCAGCTTTAATTCAAGGGGTTTAACAAAAGCACTGCATTAACTGTTTAGGAATTAAAGCCATTTTTATACAAAGTCTAACATTTTCATAACCTCAGGTTTATATTGTTAAATGGTAATTATGAAGCAGTGTGTTTCAGATATTACAGAGTAACATGAAAGCAATGTAACAAGAAATATAACAAATTACTTTTTGCAGGAGAAATTAAGTTATGCACTGCTTTACTTTTAAGGGAAGTGTTCAGGTAATATGTGTAATAAGGACTTTTTTGAGTAGCATCTCCAACAGTGATAACAGCAAAAAGGGGAAATACCTGAACAAACACGCACAAACATTTGACCCACAGCGTGCAATTAATCTGCATGAATGTAATTTCTTTATTGCTGCTTAGCGATGGTGGTGACTCTCAATGAGAACCCAATGACAATCGATAAGAGATTTTAAATTGGTAATCGAATTGATAAGTGATATCGATAATGGAATCGGAATGGCTAAATTCTTATCAGTTTCCATCCCTACTCAAGAACAGAAAGGCCAGATTAGACAGAAAACATGTTAAAGAGCCTGCTTGGTTGGGGAAAAAAGTCTTTGGAAAAGTGAAACAAGATTAATAAATTGTATCAGTATGATAAGAAGAAAGAAACAGATGATGATATGAAGTACATCACATTATCTGTCAAACATGGAAGAGGCAATGTTAACAGCATGGGTATGTAAGACTATGAGGGAAACCAGGCTACTAGTGTTTAATGATGGTGAGACTGCTGCTAGAAGTAACAGGATGTACTGGCCTATAATATGAGTGGATAGCACTTCACAATGCAAATGGATAATGACCCAAACCGTGCTACAAAAGCAACTCAAGAGTTGCTCAAGGAAAAGAAAGGGAATATTCTTGGATGACTAAGTTGTTCACTTGATCTTAACCCAATAGAGCAGGCTTTACAATTATTAAATACAAAACTGAAAGTAGAGAGACCCACAAGCAAGCAGCAACTTAAGGTAGCTGGAGTGAGTATCTCAAGAGACACTGCTTTTGGTAATGTCACTTCAGGCAGTGATTAACTGCAAAGGATTTTAATCAATTTATTAAAAAAATATATATATATATATATATAAAAAAAAACAAACACCCAGCACGCCC